CAAGCCCGTCCACAAGAAAAGGAAATATGAGCTCGGGCGTCCTCCCGCAAACACCAAGGTAAATCTAACTTGAAAGTATTTTGCTATCGGAATCAGTATCTCTTTGCGACAATGTGGGTGATGAAAACACGTCCTTAGGTTGGTCATTTTTGGCCGTTTTGGTCAAAGCCTTTGACCTCCCAATGTTAGGATTAGTCATAGTTACGCTGACACATGTCCAAGCTCAAAGTATGTCTTCATTGTTGTCACATTATATAAACTCGATATTTTTATGGCTCTCCATAGATTGGACCTCGCCGCATCCACACAGTAAGAGTCCGTGGTGGAAACAAAAAATACCGTGCCTTGAGGCTGGATGTGGGCAACTTCTCATGGGGCTCAGAATGTAAGTTCTGATAAATGTTTCGTGCTGCTTATATATGTGTAGCTCTTTCAATGAAGAAAATCTGTCCAGTTCTGCTACTGAATGTGCTTGATGGATATCATTTAGTTTTCTGAGAAAGACACATTCGACCTGATCTTTAATGCATTTGCTGAGCTTTTATTGGATGTTTCATTAAAGATGTTTCATGTTTTGATATTTTAGGCTGTACCCGCAAGACTAGGATCATTGATGTAGTCTACAATGCCTCTAACAATGAGCTGGTGAGAACCAAGACCCTGGTGAAGAACTGCATTGTACTTGTAGATAGCACTCCTTACAGACAGTGGTATGAGTCTCACTACGCTCTTCCACTTGGCAGGAAAAAGGGTGCCAAGCTGGTAAGTCCAGTCAAGTTTTTATTCAATTGTTGGGTCTTTTAATAGTGGTCTTTCTTTGATGATAACATTGTCCAGTTCTGCTACTGAATGAAAGTGATGCAGTTTAAGACTCTGAGGAAGGCTTGTAGTTACAAACTCTGTCAATACTGATAACATGCACCGTAATCGGTATATGGCTAATTCTCATTTGTTGTCAAACCCCAGACCCCTGAGGAAGAGGAAGTCCTGAACAAGAAGAGGTCGAAAAAGGTCCAAAAGAAGTTCGATGAGCGCAGAAAGACCAGCAAGATCAGTTCTCTGTTGGAGGAGCAGTTCCTGCAGGGGAAACTTCTTGGCAAGTTGTGTTTTAAGGTCTTAATGTGACATTGATGTGATCGTGATGAAACTTTAACCAGTTCTGCTACTGAAACAACCGTGCTGAAGTTATACCATTTCTGATAACCACTGAAATGCTGCCTGCAGTGACACTGCTCTTCAGTTTAAGTGTTCTTAATCTATGGGTTTGTGTTTCTCCTCAGCCTGCATTGCCTCCAGACCAGGACAGTGTGGCAGGGCTGATGGCTACGTCCTTGAGGGCAAAGAACTGGAGTTCTACCTGAGGAAGATTA